TTCGATGCTTTTAATTTTCTTTACGTTGGGCATCCAGAAAATAAAGCTCCTTGTCAGAGGCAAGTTTCTTTTCAGCTTTTGTGTTGCCCAACAGTGTGTGTTTTGTTAAAGGCCTGGATTAACTTGGCGCTTTCCTCTTCTAGAGTGTTCAGTCCCAGCCGGTCCCCTTCTCTGTTAATGAACCACTTGTTATCAGCTGCGGGCTCCTGCTTTCTTTCACTGATCTACCCTGGCACTTCAATGCAAACTGGGCCGGGGAGGCTGCGTTCCCTTTATCAGGACTGTATATGCTGTCCGGGGCTCTGCTGAACAGCCAGTGCTCCCTCCTCCAATGGATATGTGCTGAATGTCCCTCCACTAGCCAGTTAATTTCACTGCAGTTTAGCAAGGATTGGCCCAAAGCTGCAAATGTTGCAAACGTTTGCAAAATGCTAATGAAAGAGAGCGATCCCCCCCCCGACCCCCTCCCCCCCAAGTTTTGCTATGGAACCAGGAGTGCTGTTCCGCTCTACTTACCAAGGAGGGTCCAGGTTCCGGTAATTGTCTTTTATACCATTAAATCAATGTAGTGCTGTCAAATTGCTTCATAGAGTCACCATGTATCGGGCAGAAATAATGTGAAAGCTGGTACTGTCACGGTCTTTCACAGGACTACATTAACACTTTACATTGATATGAACTTTTCTACTATCTAGGACCTTAAACACCGTGGAAAAAAAAATGGTGGTGGTTCACATGGAATAAAAGAGACAGGGTTTGATTGTAATTAATATAAAAAGATTCTTTCACTGCGGCTTCTGGACTCAGACACGACCCTACTTCTCCAGTTTGGTTGATATCTCTAGACTGGGCTGCCTACCATCACCTCTCAGGGTCTCCCTAAGTCCTGACCTGGAGTCCACCGTCATGGAAGGCCCCGATCTTATGTTATTTTGGCCTCCTAAATGCCTTCCTCGTCCTTTTAAAAAGCATGCAACCAACACGAAAACAAACACCAATTACCCAAGCCCTGAGGTACAGATCTGGCCCTTAAGAAAGTTTCATACAGAGCTCTGTGTAACTCATCCGAAATCCCGCTGCGTTCCAGGGGAAATTGTAAGGCCTAGCATTGTGTAGTAGGGCCCTAGGGCCAGATCCTGAGATCTGTCTGAGCTACGTTCAACACAGCACCCCAACTACCTTTGCACTCCCCCAATCCTGGAGCAGCCAGGCTGGGTTTGGTCCCAGTTCAGGCAGTAATAAGCTTTAGTTACTGCAAAGACATGTCACCACTTCTCCTTTGTCTGGGTTAATAACAGCTTTAAATCAGCTGATCGGTGCAGATAATTTCTGACACTGCACCATTCAGAACCCAGGGCACAGCGCAGACACCAGCCCCAAGGAGCGAGGGCGTGACTGACTGCATTTGGTCTCCTTGGAGAAGGACTCGCCCTCCTCTGCAATAACAATGGAGCTCGGTGGGGCTGCCTCCATTTCTGGTGCCATTGGAACACATTTTCTTGGCGGCACCTCTGTGGTACCAGCCAAGCCAACAGCCTCTGTTACATCTGAGTCCAGCTGCCTGTCCAGTTACCGAATGACCCCAAGAGCAGCCTCTGGGACCTTCCCACTTGGACCCTCCTCACCAGGCAAGGTCAAGTAATTGAGACCGTCTCATTCCAGGCCAGAGCTTCAGCGGGTTTAACCAGCCCTGCAGCGAGGGGAGCGATCCCGATTGACCTCAGCTGCTCACAATCTGGCCCTGTATCTCCAACTTTCTCTGACTAACCAGCCTTTGTGAAAGAGCAACCATCTCACTGGCACATTGGGGAGCTCTTGTGTGACGTAATCACCCCCCTGCAGGCAACGCTTCCAGACAAGCTGCAGCAGAAACATCTGCCAATTGGGTGAAAAGGATGCTAGGACTGCAGGTCTAAAATGAGATGAAGAGCACTTGCGTCATTTTTCCAGCACACCAGCACATACTCATCACCATCGTTTGGCCTCTTTCTGGGCTTGCACAGTGCCAGAACAGACTGACTCACACACACTTTATCCTGTTGTTCTTCACTTGACTTAGAAATAGACTCCATTAATAATACGTCACTGTGATAGGGGGTGTTCCAGCTGAGGGCCTTGAAAGACTTTACTAACCTGGCAGCATTCAGCTTCACAACACCCCTGAGAGCGAGGAACGATTACCCCCATTTTATAGATGGGAAAATTGAGCCACAAATTGCCAATGGTGTTTGGGGGATTCAGAGACTATGGTGCTGGTGAACAGTATAAAACCCTAAGATTAGATGGCTAGATGAGCTGGAATCACAGAGCAGAAAGGTAGAAATAGAAGGCAGGCATCCAAACTAATCGTCCCTTGTACATTCGTATCCTCCTTTGCCAAGCACTTGAGCCCTGTCGATGAAAATACTAACCAGAAACAAAGCACCACATTCCAGGACTTTTCCCTTTGCCCCCACCCACCTTGGCTAGTTCCCCATTGACTCTAGTTAAAGGCCCCTCATATTCCTGAGCCTGGCTGCTGTAAGAGGGACCCATTTGGGGTTTTTCACCAGCCTACTTTTCCCCTTCTCTCCTCACTTGTTTACTTAGCAAAGGTTGGCTCTCCTGTTTTTATGGCCTGGCAGGATTTCTAGTGAAAATGTGAAATGTTCATTTTTCCTGCCGGGACCGAGGAAAGCAGCATGCCACGGTGTCACTGGCCTTGCTTTGGCGTATGCTGACCCAGATCAAAAAGTCCGGGGTTACTTACGTTTCAGGCTTAAGCTGTTGAATGCCACCTGGATCAATGATTAGCCTAGGCACTAATCTGTAGTTTGCATGGACAAACGCAGTGAAGTTACTGGGCAAGTGACTGTCCTGTATCAATGACAAAGGGTCATGAGAGAGGGGGATGGGTAAAAGAGGAGTACACAGGAGCGGTCTATGCATTTTACACCCTTTCTCTGCTCAAGGAGGAGACTCTTTCCAAGAGGAAGGAAAGTGGTCAGCTCCCATACCTGCTCCTGCCCTGTCAATGCAGCGAGCCCTCACCCAGGGCCAGAACCAACACTCTGGGGAGGTTGCAAGCCAGAGACAGGAGGAGGCAGGACGGGGGTCAAGCCGTAAATGTAAGAGAAACATTTTAACTTTGCACGTGCCCCGTCACTCATAGCAACCACCCCACGAGAGGAATCCGCTTAAAATCGGATGCAGCAGCAAGTTGTATTGACCCCTAAGCAGAATTCCTTCTGGTCTCTGGGATTCTCTTTAAGGGCTGATGCGGGGGGAAGGAGAGGCCCTAGTGTGGAGTCCTGCTCCCCAGGACTTGGTAGGAGATTATGGGGGCTCAAAGCCAGTGAAGAGGCACAGGTCCTCCCCATGGAGACCCGCATTCTCCAACAGACCCCCCTGTACTCTGGGCAGACCAAGAGAGGTCTGTAGGTTCTGGGAAGCAAACGTGAACCTCTTTCCTTCAATGGGAGAGAAGGGGAAGCCAAGTCCTCCTATTCTGACTGAGCAATTAGCTGAGAACACTTCAGGGGAATTCACTTCCTCCCTAGCCCCTTCCTGCTGATTGTCCCCTCAGGAAGAAGCTATTAACCATGTGGTGCAGTATTAAACCAGCACTGCTCTCCCTAGGTCTTTGTGCTCCATCTCAGGGTGGATTTGCTGAACATTCCTGATTAGGCCTCAGCTGGAGTATTTTGTCCAGTTCTGGGCGCCACATTTCAGGAAAGATGTGGACAAATTGGAGAAAGTCCAGAGAAGAGCAACAAAAATGATTAAAGGTCTAGAAAACATGACCTATGAGGGAAGATTGAAAAATTTGGGTTTGTTTAGTCGGGAGACGAGAAGACTGAGAGGGGAC